ATACTTCCTTTGAGCCTAGAAAAAAATCTTAATGGTTGCATGAAGCCCATTTTATTTCTGTACATGTGGAAAGTAAACAATGGCCTAAAAAGTGAATACTATTGTACTGTCATGCAGAGTGAATCCTACTGAAGTCCTAGCTTTACTACAACTCTAGAAGGTGTAGGTGATGATGAAAGTTGCAATTTTTTCCCAAAAGTTGTTCATTCTATGAACAACTCTCGTCCTTTGTCCTTTGTCCTATTTTTTTTTTGTCTGTAGATCATTTTAATTGCTGTTCTTTAAACACTTTTTTTTTTTTTCTTTTTAGGTGCAATTCTGTTATTCAGTAAATTTTGGATTGAATTTCATTTTGCTTAGCAAACGAGCAGCAGTAACTTCTTTTTATTTGTACAGCATCTAGCACTGTAGTGTCCACTGTTGCTGTTCATAGGCACTGTAATAACACAAGAAACAAATAATTACTCTGCTGCAGCCCTTATGTTTTCACAAACCCTCACAAAGTAATTCATCACAGTGTCTCATCTCTGCAACTCTTTCCATGGATGTGGAAGTAATGGTATAAATCTTCTGTTGTCTGATGCAAAGCTAAAAATGAAACATTGATATCCTAGATCCTGTGCTTTGAGAGAGAATTACATCTGGGATATCAGTGCAAGGCATGGGGTGCACTGACAACAGATCAGGTCTTGCAGAAAACAGGGAGATGCAGAAAGAAATCTATGTGTAAATATGCACAGTATCTAGTGAGTAAGTCAAATTTACAACAAGTTATGCATGGAAATTTAGTTCTGGCGGTATTTCATGGATAAACTTCTGAAGCATTCTCTTTTAATGTAAAATGTGGGTTCTGCTTTCCTCCAGTACTAAGGAAAACTGATCTGTTTTTCTGTTGGTTTTGAAGTGTAGCTCTATTCTGCAAAGACTGCATACGAGGAAAGGGGAGGGAGTGGTTGTATTTATTATTTTAAGCACTTTTGACAGGTTTGCTCAGTCAGAGAACACAGAGTTATTTCTTCTGGCTGTCAGTGCTTTGAGCTTGCCCTTTGGTTTGGAGGGGACTTGCTACAGATTCTTCAATTTTCATGCATCAGCCATCACCAGCAATGAAATAAAACTACCAGCATATTAAATATCTGAATAAATGTCAGCAACTTGTTGTGGTTTAACCCCAGCACGCAGCTAAGTTCTGCTCAGTCACTTGCTCATGCTCCCTCCAGTGGGGTGGGGAAAGAGAATGAAAAGGGCAAAAGTTAGAAACTCATGGGTTGAGTTAAAGACCATTCAATCATTAAAAAAATAAAAAAAATAGAAAAAGCGGATGCTTGCTATAAGCTGACCAATGCCTAGCATGACCCTGAGCAACAGCCACCTTGGAAAATTCCTTTCCAGTTTTCTTGCTGAGCACAGCACCATGTGGTATGGTATATCCCTTTGATCAGCTGTCCTGGCTTTGTCCCCTCCCAGCTTCTTTTGCACCCCCAGCCTCCTTGCTGGTGGGGCAGTGGGAGAAGTAGAAAAGAGCTTGATACTGTGCAAGTGTTATTCAGCAATTACTAAAACTTTTATCTGGTATCAACACTGTTTTTGTCACAAATCCAAAATGTAGCACCATACTGAAGAAAATGAACTCTATCTCAGTCAAATCCAGCACGCAACTATATGTGGGTATCATCAGCAGAGTATTTAGTTTCATTTGGTTATTTCAAACAATTTGACATATAAACTTATGCGAAATTCAGCATTTGATGCCATATTTCCATTAGTGCTGCACTCTAGTTTCCACTATAAAAAAAATATATTAAAAATGTGCTGCTTTTCTGCCTTGGCCACGGAACAGATTTTGTAGCTTTTACATACCCGCATGAGGAGAGATCTGTTGGGTAGAGTATGAACAGCTGGAACCGTGTATGTGAAAATCTGGCCCAGGTAGGACTTTGTGGGATGGTATTTAATCTTGTCCTTTCTTAGGCTGACACACAGAAGTGCCTCCTGGTGACCTTTACAGCAGAGCATCTGAGGGTGCCTCTTTGAGCAGTCTGGGACTCGTGGTACAATTTCTAGCTCTTTATGAACCAAGGTTTCCTTTGGGCAGAAGTAGCTCTGAGCATCTCTTAGTCTGCAACTCAAAGGCTGTAGCAGCAGCAGAGCTAGGAGGATGGGATGTGCATCAAAGGGAGTAAATTGAGTTCAGGCTCTTCTTTTGTGTGACATCGTGGAGCCATCTGTATGATAAAAGCATAAAAATAATCTGCACTGATAGGAGCATTAAAATGGACAGTAATCTAAAAGCACAGTTCTCTTTTGGAAAGGGGCAATCTAGAAATGCCAATTTTGAATCTAACGGATCTATTCCTGGGAGTATTACAATATTACTTGCTAAATTTAGTGACAAAAAATACTGTTTAAAAGTCTTGGGAAAGGATCAGATTTTTTTTTTTTTCTGCTATATAATCTGTGAAATAGGCTATTATGTTTCCATTGTTTATACCCATTTAAAATTCTGCCACTTAGGAATTTTTAAGAGAATTGTATAAATAATTACCTCCCTGGGCATTTCTTCATCTTGATATTGATCCATTTGGAATAGACAAAACCTTTCTTCCCTGAGGAAATCAAATAGAAAATACCCTTAATGCTGAGATTAAAATCATGATTTCTTTTTTTTTGCTTTTGCTGAACTTTTAGAATCTTATTGGCAATGCAGTCACATGAAATACTGTGACTGATTTAAATATTAAATGCATCCTTTGAATGCAACCAAATCATGCATTTATTTTCTGTAAATATGCAAGTTCTTTTTGTACAAAAAACTTAATTCTCTCTACCTCTGATCAGAATTTGGTATGAATGCCTTTCTCCCAAGTGATAGAGTTCTATCACTTTTGAAATGTTTTGCAAAATTCCTTTTTGCATATTTCACAAGGGAAATTAGGATAAGAGTACAGCGATCTCCAAATAATCTGTTCTGAAGCTCTGAAAGCAAAGTAGCTTGCTTTGAACTTTTTCATCTAATTTCAAACATTGTATTCATATTTTTTTCTAGTTTCAGCTCCCTTTCTGTGATTTTTTTTTCTAGTATTTCTAATCCTCATTTTCAAACTAATTCAATTAAGAATTAACCAAATTCCAAAAATTCCAAGTCCTTCCTGAATCACTGTTTTTCTTTGGTAGGACTCTAAATGACAAGCAACTTTTTTTTTTTTTTTTTTTTTTGCCCCCCCCCCCCCCTTTTTTTAAATCCAGCAATAAACTTTAATTTATCGAACAAGTTTTACATCATTATTCTTGGTAAAAAATAAAATTAGTATTTAGAATGCTGGGTTATAATTTTTTCTTGCCATTGCCTGAGACTGTGATTAAGAAGTTTGGCTTTGAGACTAAAGCTTAAGGTAGGTCATTACTGGATACTTCCTAAAATGTAGTACAATACAGTTTTCCAGTTAAAGTTTGTAAAGGGGTGAGGGAGAAATAGGTTTTTGTCTTGAGGAAAAAGGCTGGAAGGCTGTGCGATAGTATCAGAATGGAGATATTTAGATTGTAGAGACTGCATGCTCATCACTCAGGGACTTGCACGTCTGGTTTCTAAAATATGGTTATCACTTTATAATTTGTTGTTGTTAAGTCTTTTTCCCCTCTTTCCCTCTCCGTAGTGAGTCTTCAGAAGTACCTACGTTCCCTCCCCTGGAGGGAAATTGATAATGTGTTCCCAGGTAACAAATTATATCTGTCTCTGAAAATGAGTCAATGTAATCATGACAAATTCATGAAATAAAGAGGAAATACATTGCTGCAGTCCTGGGGAACATGAGTCAATATGCTTTATGTAATTATTTAATAAAACATCTCTTCTAGTGCATTGAAGCAGCCTGAGATACCGAAGCAGTTGTATTTATGCAGGAATAAACAAACTTCCAGTAAAAGCTGGTGACCAGAAGCATGCAATTACACGTTTCCAGAAATACTCATTAAACCAGTCTGCTTAAATTTTAATCAGACTTCTATGTATGAAAACCATCTTGATAAGGGGGGGGGGGAGGGAGGGCAGGAAAAAAAAAAAAGGGTTTATGAAAGGCTGTTCAGATATTTTGGTTTCCAAAATGGCTTTGAATTTTTGTTTTTATTTAACTACTTGAGCTTGGGAGTACAAATCTGTCTGAAAGTTAACAATGTAAAATCCTGCATGCTGGCTTAATTCTGTTTTATGGGGGCTGTATTAGTATCAGCACAGAAATACTACATTGATAGCAAAGCTGTCAAAAATAAAATAATGGGGGGATTAGACAGTGAGATATTTGAAATACTTAATCTTTGTGTAGTCTGTCTCAGAAATGTCATAAGACTGATAGTGAGTGCATGCTTACATGAAAGTAAAGTCACAGGAAATACACTTACACTGAAAAATTACAAATCACCAGGTACTTCCAGCATTTTTTGGCTGCCTTTATTTATCTTGCTGATGTGTGAGATAAATACTGCAAACTGTGTTATATCTGAGAAATGAGAGCACGCGCGCTGCCCTGGATCATAAAGAGAGTTGATGGGAAAGTCAGAAATAGCTGTAAGAGGTTAATGAATCCAGATGCTGGAATGAATTCAGTAGGTGTCTTATTACGTTCCTCTCAAACATTAGATTTGTATAATGTAATGATCAGGGACTTCCATATGTATTTTCAGTCAGCCTAAAGTAGCATCGGGATACTCGGCGACAGTTCACTTGCACAACTGGGCTATCATCTGGAGCCTTTGCAAAGGTATTTGTAGACCTATTCAAAGCATCCGAGAGGGGAGGTCAGAGAGCAACCCACAAAATGTTAGTGCGAGAAGACAAGGCACATATCCATCCCTTAAAAGGGTCATTAAGCTGTTCATGTTTCACAATCTTTTTGTCTGATGGACACCTACTTGTGATAGATCACCTTGTGTCTTTGCAAACTGCAGTTATGAATATTGTTGCTTTAATATTTGATTCTAATGGCCACTGTGCTTTATCCTTCTAGGGCATCAGTAGCCTCTTCAGTTCACTTAAAGTGGTCAGACTACTTCGACTCGGTCGTGTAGCTCGGAAATTGGACCACTACATTGAATATGGAGCAGCAGTCTTGGTCCTGCTGGTGTGCGTGTTTGGTCTTGCGGCACACTGGCTGGCCTGCATTTGGTACAGCATAGGAGACTATGAAGTTATTGATGAGGATACAAACACGATCCGAACTGAGAGCTGGCTCTATCAGCTGGGAATGTCGATAGGAACACCTTACCGCTTTAACACGTCAGGCTTTGGAAAATGGGAAGGCGGGCCAAGCAAGGACTCCGTCTACATCTCCTCACTGTATTTTACGATGACCAGCCTCACCAGTGTTGGTTTTGGTAACATCGCTCCAACTACAGATGGGGAGAAGATCTTTGCTGTTGCTATGATGATGATTGGCTGTAAGTATTAGAGATTCTCTCTCTCACGCAACATCTGATAGCCGTGTGCCGTGAATTCTGAGTATCCCAAGAACATCTAGAATCATGTTGAACATACTAATGTTCAATACAGTTAAAACCGAAATATTTTGGGTGGCAATATAGTAATCACGCTTTCTAACTGGTTAGTTTTAAAATCACAGATGGGAACATTGATGTGACTGTCAAAAAATCTGTCATTTTGTAAGAATTATTCTGTCAATATCCTTTCAATATTCTCTTGTAAGTAAAAAAGAAAATGTACAAAGCCTGAGGTATTAAAAATTAATAGGGTGAGCGTAGACAATCCTTGTGCCTTGCTTTGGTATAAGCTGGGGGAGGTCAAGGAGCATCTCACGAGAAGGAGACAATAGTAGCTCTCTGGAAGCCATCAGCTCCACTGAGGGCTGAGCATACATCAAATCCTGAAGCAAATAAGATAATATGGGCCTTGGGCACCTCTTCTGGCTCATATTTCCTTGTTGCAAGGGGTTTCGCGTTGCCAAGCTGTCCAGCTTTTGGTCATGATGTGTCACTTCAGTGCAAGATCTTACTCAAAGTGCCTGGAGAGCTGCTTGCAGTTAAGGACTGTTCTTTGGTCACCCTTAAACTCGGTCATGCTTTTATGCATAAGGGTGGGATTTGGACCAAAATAAGGAGGGAAAAAAAGAAAAGAAAAAAAAAAAGACATTGTTATGGAGAAAGAGAAACTGTTGTACAGAGATAGTACATTTAGAGGAAAAAAAAAGTTAGTCCTTGCTAAGCAGAAAATTAAAACCCAATATATAATGAAACTCAATTAGCACCACAGTGCCTGTTATATCAACATGTGGCTTTGATTCTGAAGTATGTGTCATTTTACAGCAGTACTGAAATAATGCATGCAATGTTGAGCAGGCTGAAGGCCAGCTTTAAAAAGACAAGCATTCTTGATTGGGTAGGGATTGGGATTTTTTAGTTATAAAAATTGTTAATTTCATTCTCCTAGCTTTTTCCAGTACTTAAAGTCCCATCATTGTATTAAAACACAGTGGTAGCAGAAGTGGAAGTTATGTAAAAGTTGGAGGCAATTATTCAGTTTTCTCATGAGAATGAGTTAGATGATGTAGCAGTGGAGTACAGAACAGGCTTCCATACATATTTCTTGATGAAGGTACCTTTTTAATAGGAAACATCCTGACCTTTGGCTTACTGTTCATTATGTTATGCTCATGATACTAGCTAGACAAGAATAGCTAGTACTTTTCAGTATTATTATTCAGTACTGTGAGTACTGGATAGACCTAACCTTTATAAAATCAAGAATGTATGTGGGGATATTTTGGAGTTGTCCCTCCTCTAGACTCTTCATTTCAAAGTGTGGTGGAAAGAAACTGAATTTATGCAAGGTGAAAATTGATAGATATCTGCTCTGAATTCTAAAATGAGGTTTAATCACAATAATTTTTAAAAAATAGTGTTCTGGCAATTTTAAATCTTGTGAACAAAATAATATTTGACAATTTTGTTTGTATTTGATTGGATTTCTGGAACCTTAAATATGTATCCTGATAAACGTCTCCGTATCTGAGCATCTTTATCTTGCGAAGAGCTTCTTGGAAACCATTAGGACTGTTCACAAGATGTGTTTGCAGGAATGGCAACTAGGTCATCCAGTCCTTCAGTTTACCTCTCTGGACTTTGCAGGTTCTTGATTGCTTTTGACATGATGATGGTTTGAGCTGTGGTCAACTAAACAGATTTGTTTAGCTTGCAGCTATTTGGAGCTTAATTGCTGATAAGGTTTCTTCCACTGTAAAAATTCATGTTAAAATAACACTGTTTTGTCTTTAGAATTAATCTCTTGAACATTGATCTGAACTTGAACTAGGGTAGTTTTATAAGAATTTTATCTGAACCTAAAAGATACGTAGCAAATGTATTGGGGATAGACATGGGGAAGGGAAAAGGTGTGTCCTGGCTAGAACTTCGGTACTTCACTTAGGAAAATCTGTATTTGTACCTGGCCAAATAGCATGTTTGCTAGGAGCTGAGCTTGTAACTCATATCACAGTTGGTGGCTGCACATTCCTGTTATGCTCCCCAATTTGCCTGTGTCAGATCACATAGAGTTGCACGTGGGGTGGATAGCATCTGTGCATGTCCAAACCATCGGAAAGAAGCTGCTGTCCACTAGTAAAAGTGCAGGGTGTGTGATATCTCTTTAACACTTTACCATTGACACTGCAATTAATTTAGGATGTATTTAGTGATGCAGATCTCAAAAACACGAAACATTACAGATTTTGGGGTGTGCTTATATGAGTCAGATATACATGTGCTAGCCAGAAAGTCTTTTGCAAGTAAACTTCAAAATAAATTAAGTTGGCAAACAGCTGAAAACTTCATATTATTTATTAATAAAAGTGATTATACAATAAATTATATGTTTGGGGTGAAAAATGATGAAAGAAAATAATTAATAAGCTTCCTACCCAAGTTGGTTTGTATCACAAGGTTTCTGACTTTGACAGAAAATAGATTTAAAAGAGGTCAGGCAAATGTGTTGAGGTAATCTTCCTGACACTTCAGATCTAGTTGTGCTAGGAACTCAAAGGGCAGAAGCCTTGAAAGCCAGAGGACTATGCCACAGATGTCTATAGATTTATATGCTTTCTGCAGATGCAGTCTTCAGATCCTGCAATTTGCTGAATATCCTTAAACTACATACATAAAAAATGAAGTGTGCTTGGGGTGATAATTAGACCTATGGCCTGTAGTGGAAAAAGAAAAAGCTATTTCCACTAACAAATAAGCACAAAAGTGTAGGATTACACTGAAAATCCTCTTTTCCACAGTTTCATCAATTTGGTAGTTTTCCACAAGTTTAAGAGCATCCAGGTGCACACTAGCTCTCAAAACCATGCGTGAGTGGTGTGTAATGCAACAGTTCACTTCTCATCTTTCAGTAGGATGGGGAATGCCATTTTCCTTCTGTGAAGGGAGCAGAGAAAGCCTAGCTGTTTGGCCATCTAAAACTCCAGTTGAAGATAGGTGGGATTTGCAGTCCGACCTCAAATTTATTACTCCGTTAACTTCTCCCCTGCTAGAGGATTTCTTTAAGAAGTGTGCACATTTGTCTTGTTTTTGGAATGGCTAGGTATAGGCAAAAATGCATATCTGTATGTTTAAATAGTCAAGTGAAATATGTGCCAGTCAGTTTACAACCTTTTGTGTATGAAATGGAAACACTGCTGGCACTTCTTTGAGAGTGTTATCATTTTTGTTTAGTTGAGTAAGCCAATATGTTAACAACATCGTTTTTGAGATCCCCAAACTGCCACAATAGTGTCATCAAAAATGGATATTTGGGGACAAGTGTATAACAGCCAGCATTAATACTTCAAATTAATTCCAGCAAAATTTTACTTTAAGTAGGCTGGAAATATTAGATAGGAGGGATTTTTTTTTCCCCTTGGGCCAATTAACTACCCAACTGTGAATGAATAGTACAACTTCCATTAGTCTGATGGGGACAAATGTAGCTGATCAGAAAGGAAGTGAGAAAAATTTCTTCTATTTGTGGGTTTTATCCTCTGCACTTTTAGAGTGGCAATAAGATCTGCGCCAACAAACTAGCAGCTTGTTAACCAACGCCATGGCCAGCCAAGCCCCTGGTCACAATTTCATTGGCAAGACGGCCTTTGAAATTTTGATCCACTCTTTATTGTAGAAGAAGCTGAATTTTGTTGAAACAGAGGAGGTGGTCAACACGTGAAGATGTCTGTGACCTCCACCTTCTTTGCATGGGCTGACACCAGAGAGTCAAAGCACCGGCGCTGCACCCATGCATGGTGAGCACCTGCCTCCCGCTGGTGGCTGGCCCAGGGACTTCAGGAGCATGGAGCTTGCTCCTTCCTCGAGGTGCTCTCCCTGCCTCCAGCCGGGTTGTAGCACTGCATTGGCACCCTGCTTCTCACTTGTGGTGTGGAGGGTCTTGACTGCAGTTTGCTGTGGTAGGGGCATTGCAGAAGTGCTTCCCTGCAGCACAGAGGGTGGCGTCAAGTGAAGAGAAGTCAAGAATTTACTCTTAGAAGTGTGAACTCGTCTGACTCAGTGAACATAGAAATAAATTATTATTATTATTATTATTATTATCATCATCATCATCATCATCATCATCATCATCATCATCATCATCATCAAGAGGCTGGAGCACCTCTCTTCTGAAGACAGGCTGAGGGAGTTGGGGTTGTTCAGCCTGGAGAAGAGAAGGCTCTGGGGAGACCTTGCAGTGGCCTTCCTGTGCCTAAAGGGGACCTACAGGAAAGCTGGGGAAGGACTCTGTGTCATGGGGTGGAGTGATAGGACAAGGGGGAATGGCTTTGAAGTAAAAGAGGGGAGATTTAGATGAGATGTTAGAAGGAAATTCTTCACTCAGAGGGTGGCGAGGCACTGGCACAGGCTGCCCAGAGAAGCTGTGGATGCCCCATCCCTGGAGGTGCTCAAGGCCAGGCTGGATGGGGCTTTGGGCAGCCTGGGATGGTGGGAGGTGTCCCTGCCCATGGCAGGGGGTTGGAGTGAGGTCATCTTTAAGGTCCCTTCCAACCCAAACTATTCTGTGATTCCATACATATATGTGCACACATATGTAGCATATATGTATACACATGCAGCCCAACAGGGAGAGTATTTATTATGATGTTTAAAAGAAGAAAAGGAGTGCGTTTTTTTTTTTCCTCCACATGGATATTTCTAAAATGATTTTAAATAGAGTGGATTTAATTGTGCAGTGTTCATGTACCTCTGGGAAAGGCCTGGCATGGTGTGTGTTGCTCTGAGGAGCATTGCCAGGTCGTGCAGTTTTGCAGGCTGTCTCGTCCTCATTTCTAGCAAACTTGGCTTTTGGTTTGGTTTGGTTTGATTTACTGACCGAGTGTCTTGAATAGTTTCTGAGGAGGAAGGTTGCGAGGAACAGCAGCGATACTGTTTCCTTTGGTTTT